TTCAATGATTTTCCTTGATATGTCAAGGTTGATCGGTTCGCGCAGCTGAGCGGAGTTTTTTACATCGTTTAAAAATCAGAATAAGAAACACCCTAGCGGGCCGACCAGATGTGGGGGGTCCAGTTGACACTTTATGGTCCACCCCTGCACCCCGTCAACAACGCAGTAGGTGTCGGCAAACCCTCTAAATGCCCCCGAAGGGGCTCTAACATTTTTTTCCCTGTTTTTTTCGTACTGTATACTGATATCTACATAATACCTACATCAAGTCATACTGCAAATCGAATTTTGGAGATAGTTTTATTGCCTTGGGAGAAAAAACAAAGCAACTTTGCGATGGAATAACAAAAAAAATGATATTAACAATTATATGACAATTTAGAATTGTGTTTTCTCCTGCAATAATCATTTGTTATTTATGAAACTACTTCATTCCCTCAACAATGCAATGATCGAGCCGATAAAGTAATTTCATACATGTAAAGTAATAATGGTAGGAGAAAATACAATTATAAAAATTCATGTAGACGCAGGGGTTTCGTTTCCCCTTAAGAGAAATTCGAGTTTCGTGTTAGGATCTAAAACACAAGAATCCTCTAAATGGAGATATGATGGCTTCCGCACGTTCGAGAATGTTTTAATTAGCAGAAAAAAAAATATTTGAATTGAAAATAACAAAACGAAGAATATTTAAATTTAGAAATAGTTGAATGCAGCTGAGACCCCTAATTTCTGGACGGCTGGGCCATACTTTTTTATTATTTTTAAATGTCGATGAATAGAAAAAATAATTGATCACATGATTGTACACGAGTAATATTATATAAAGGTGAAATAAACAGTACAATTTTCATTTTACTTATGGAATATTTAATGCAAGTTGAAATCGTTCAGAAACTAACCCCCGTCCCGAAATTGATCTGTTTACCCTAGATCGCTGAGGGAACATTCCTAAATGGATTCTCAGAAACCATTATTCCTATAAAAAGAGAAATTTCTGAAATTTACTCCTTAATAGGTACACACAGGAAAAAAATTGTGAACAATTTCCGAACAAGTCAAGTAATTCAATAGCGAAGTGGTAAAACGGCACAAGTCAATTTCGGCTATTGACCACTTTTCAATGAATATCTCGGAATCTAAGGGAGATAGCAAAATTTTTATTGAACATTTTGTGTAGAGCCGATTGAGAGCTACAACAAATGTAATTATAAGAATTTTGCTCCCTCCCTCAGATTCGGCAATATTCCTCAAAAACTCGACTGGGAGATAAGTCGACTTGAACCGTTTTACCACTGGTAGGCGGAAAAAATAGCGGAAGGAAAAAATAGCCGATGAGTTGTAACACGTGTTGTGCATAGTAGGCGACAAAATGATCGGTCATTTTCGGGGTAGGCGGAAAAAATGACCGAAAATGAACGGTCATTTTGTCTTTTACCACACACGACGCGTGTTATTACACATCGGCTATTTTTTCCTTCGGCTATTTTTTCGTACATTCGATTTAAGTATATTATTCCTGATTCTAGTATATTTTATACTCAATTCAAGTATATTTTTTCCCGTGAACTCTGGGATGTAAAATGCGCCGACAGAAATCATAACATTATTCTTTTGAAATAGACCAAATATAAAAGTCATAGTACTGGCCAGATTGGTGGTTGACAAATGAGTGAATCCCCAATGGTGAGCGAATGCACGCAGAAGACATATGGCCCCATAAAAAAGAGATACAAGAGGGCCAAAAACTGTGCGCCATCTCTCTCACACGGTACAACCATCCCAGTTTTTCGATCCGATATTAATGGAGACCAAACACCGCACATTCTGTGTCGTCGTTGTTCCCCAGAGTGTGTACACCACATCGCAAAATGCCATAATGTCTATTCCGATATATAATGTGTGTACACTCCCCCTTTCTCCAACAATGGAATGATCTATGGAACGATCCTGGGTGTACGTTTATAGGTACATACAGATAGTTTTGGCTCCTTCTCCCTTCGGTCCTTTTTTATGTCTTCCACATTACAATCCTCCGTTTTTTCTCAGTCCTTTCGTGCGAACGATAAAAGTCGAATCAGTTTAATGTTATGAAGTTTGGGGCATATGTGGTAGTATAATGCCAACGGACCGCCCAATTTGTCATTATATGATGTGATAATGATTTATTCCGGGATTAGAAGGGGACAAAATCAAGAATGATGGAAGAAAAGATTCTTCATGTGAAAAAATCATGTTACCTTTTCATAAGCCAGAGAAATTGGACTTGAAAGAAATTTCTCTGTTGCAGTTCCTATGAATGGGGCGAATACGTAATGACATGCGGTTTCACTGGTTGGGGGGATGATTGGATATGATAGAATTAGAATACAGGTTCCATTGTATTATGTTCTGAGTGGGAATGCACTGTTTGAAAAAAAAATGTAATTCCAAGAATTACAATGATAATCTAATGATAATCTTCATAAAAGTGACAACATAGAGAAAAAGAGATTTGATGGTCAGGGACATGTCACTGATTTTCGCGAGTAATTCCCAATTATACTGTTGGAAAAAAATGAAATTTCATGGAAAGTTGACTACTAATTTTCAGAACACTGGTACTGAATGCGATTTAGGGGAAAAGATTTTTATGCAGCATAAAGACGAGAATTCCTTCATTTATTTGAATTTCCAATCTAACATGAATATTTAGTGACAAATTACACTGAATTTTCAGTGAAATCTGAAATTTCATGATGTTTTTACCCTTAAATCGCATTCAGTGTCACTGTTCTGAAAATTCAAGAATAAATCTACCGGAATTTACTGGTTTTCTATTAATTTTCAGGGAAACAGAAATCTCTGTTTGATTTTTCCACGGAGCTCTGTATTTTCAATGACGAAATTCCTTGAAATTTCAGTGGTAATTAAATTCGATAAAAATTCGGAAAAAGTGCACCGGAAATTTCAGACAAGAATTTGCACGCAGAGAAATGCTCAGTAAAAATTACGGAATTCACAGTTCGCTCACCGATTACGGAATCGACGTAGAAAATTTAAGTGACGGTATCGGAATTTTTNGACGAGAATTCCTTCATTTATTTGAATTTCCAATCTAACATGAATATTTAGTGACAAATTACACTGAATTTTCAGTGAAATCTGAAATTTCATGATGTTTTTACCCTTAAATCGCATTCAGTGTCACTGTTCTGAAAATTCAAGAATAAATCTACCGGAATTTACTGGTTTTCTATTAATTTTCAGGGAAACAGAAATCTCTGTTTGATTTTTCCACGGAGCTCTGTATTTTCAATGACGAAATTCCTTGAAATTTCAGTGGTAATTAAATTCGATAAAAATTCGGAAAAAGTGCACCGGAAATTTCAGACAAGAATTTGCACGCAGAGAAATGCTCAGTAAAAATTACGGAATTCACAGTTCGCTCACCGATTACGGAATCGACTTAGAAAATTTAAGTGACGGTATCGGAATTTTTTACAGGAGATTCAGGTAAAAATTACGGAACGCTCTGGAAAAATTCCGTGATTTTAGGTAAAAACTCAGTGATAGTTCCGTAAAATTTCCTACAACCGCATTTCACTCCGGAATTACGGAAAAGATACGTAATTTTTATTGAATATTTCTGTCCATGTGTAACAGTGTAAGACCAAATTTTTCAGCTCGGGTAAAGACACGCAAAAGGGCGTTGGCAATTTCGTTCCTACAAAACCCCGAATGAACATAATTCTCCCTTTCGTTCCGCTCAGGTCAAAAAACATAGAGTTGAGTTCAATCAAACATCCTCTCCATGCACGGAGTCAAATTGGATTTTCCCGAAAACCCCTCAGCGAAACGTATACGCGGCGCGTGACTATCTAGAAAAGGGGGACAACGAGTTTTCGGAAGGTATTATAGTCAAGGGATGATTTGGCTGAGGGTAGAGAAACTCAAACTGTGTATGTCTGTCTCTCTCGTCGAGCTCTGTAGGATCAAAGACGAACCCCACGGTGGTTGGCCGACTGGCCTGACGTATTAGGGATAAATTGACGTCGACAGGGCACGAGCAATTCTGCACCTTGCACGGCTTTGATCCGGTTTACCTGAGGGAACTGTTTCCTCTCACCCTCCATCCACCCTCTGAACATTCCCAATCATCAACCAATGTTAAAGGGATTTCATAACGGATGTTGCACACGTTGGTTATCCATCATTGCGGAATTATTGATAATTGCAATTTCACAGCTGAATTGGGTGCCACGTGAATTACAGCATACACTGAGAAAAAAATTCTTGAATCGGGTGTATAATATTCTGGAATCCGGAATAATATTTCATGATTTAGGGGAGGGTCGGGCAAAATGGGACATGTTGAGATCTTTTCCAATTGTCAATATCTTTATTTATAAGTAAAGATATTGGCTTGAGAAAATCACGAAACGTCCCATTTTACCCGACTCTCCCCTAGAACATTTTATTCTCGATTCTGGAATAATACATGAAGCAAATTATTTGGTGAATTGGTTGGTAATTCATTTTTTTAACAACTAGGTGTTGAAATTCACCAAATAATTTTTTCCGTGTATCTCGGAGTCCGGGATAGTTTATCCTCAATTCCGGAATAATATTCCCTTACAATTCCAGAACTTTAAGCAGCACAAAGACGAGAATTCCTTAATTTATTTGAATTTCCAATCGAACCTGAATATGGAGTGGCAAATTTCATTGAATTTTCAGTGAAATCTGAAATTTTATAATTTGTTACCCCTAAATCGCATTCAGTGTCACTGTCCTGAAAATTCAAGAATATAGTGATCGGAATTTTCCGGTTTTGTATTCATTTTCAGGAAAAAATGGAACTGATATTTACAGTCCTTTTTGATTTTTCCACGAAATTCCGAATTCTCAATGACGAAATTCCTTGAAATTTAAGTGATACTTAAATTCGATAAAAATTTCCAAAAAGTGTACCGGAAATTTCAGACAAAAATTTTTAACCGTGTAATCGGGATTCATACCTGAAGCGAAGATTCAGTTGTCGCTCCAACGATTGACCACTTTCCACTAGAACTCTTAATTTGTTTAGTCGATATTGTTGCGGAGCTTTGGAAGCTCAAAAAGCGTTCAACACGAACAACGACGACATCTGCTTGTATTTCTCGGAAAGATCTTGATTCCCATACTACCTACCTACCGGTGATAAACGGCAACATCTGAAAATAAGCTAGTCATCACTTTGCAGTGATATCTTGTGTGGATAAGACTCAACTGATAACTCTTTCCACATCGGTAAATAAATCACAATAATTACCGCGATTTTCGGATCGCACAGATTTTGCGCAATCTCGGTGCACTTTGAAAATAAACTCTGATTGTAGAAAAACATCTTACACAATCCGAAACTCCACAATCTCATTAACAATGGAACTTTATATTCATAACAATAAACCAAGATTGTGATTTTAAACTAATTTTACGTAATCACTAAGCATCAACTTTCAAGAGTTAAATGCGTGGGGATGATTGTCAAAATGAACGATTCTTACATTTTCCTCATCGATAAATTCGTCAGTTTCCTGGTGTTAGCGATTGGAAAACCTTCGCTCGAATTGTTCTCCATGAATCTGAATAGCGATCCGAGATAGACAATTGGGGCGAACATTCCGACCTCATAAAATGTTCGTTTTCCAACCGCATTTTTGGGCTCCGATAGAATGGGACCTACTCCACCGAAAAACTGGGCTTCTAATGATAATCTTCGCAACCAGTGTGCTCTGGAGACTCGTTGGATGGTACCGTTTGCAGAAACGCTATCGGGCATGTCTTGACAAAATCCCTGGACCAGCAGCCCTACCTCTTGTTGGAAACACAATAGAACTGAATCTTGATCATGAGGGTGAGTCGAATTGCAAAGGCTTTCCCGCGGGGGTAATCCGCGTGTCAGGAGGCGCACGGTGAAAAAAATTCCAGAAAAATTACTGTAGTAGCACGGTAAAATAGGTTCATTTGGACGGACCCGGAAAAATTCCTGTGCCAGCACCGGAATTCTGCCGTGCGCTGCAGGAATTTATCTCGGATTTACCGTGAAAAATTCTTGTACCCAGAAAATTTTCCTGTGCTGACATGGTAATTTTTCCGGATCCGTCCAAACAAACCCATTTTACCGTGCTGGTACAATAATTTTTCTGGAATTTTTTTCTCCGTGTGTGATGTGGTAGGGTGAATGCGGGACGGTCAAGGGAAATTTGAGTTTCACTTAAATGGGGATATGACTGCTTCCACATCTTCAAGAATGGTTTATAACGGACCATAAATATTTAGAAACAAAATGACATGCATTTTCAATTTTCCCCTGAATTTTTCGGATTTTTCCGAATTTTCACGGGATAATGGAACTGAAAAATCAAGTATTTTATTGATTTTCAGTTCATTCAAACAGAAAATCAATTAAATATTTGATTTTCCAGTGACAAAATATCCTCAATTTTCAATGGGAACTGAACACGATCAAAATTTTCGGGATTTGACACGGAAAATACAGACAAAAATTTTTAACAGTGCATAGGCACCATCAAATTTTGCTGGAAATGTCACTAGATATAAATTCCTGGGATTTGACACGTTATGAATGATTTTTTATCAAGTTCTAAATTCGGAGAAACTGGGAAACGATCGATAGAACGGCGTAGCAGCAACTGAAATGAATATATGTGGACGTACGCATGAAAAGGACTCACGTTGTCGATTCTAGTTTTCGAAATATTCACGTCATTTTTCAGGCTACTGGGGTCGTTTTGAGTTTAAAATTTGGGGGAATGTCATCAACATTATCGTCGTATGCATAGGTCCATGTCAAACTGGGCCTTTTTCATGCGGACATTCTGGTAGATATGACATATCTCGGAAATTTTCAAGAGAATCTCCTAATCAACTCCAAGAGATCTCGTAACAGATAAATCACACTGCCGAGCAAATTATTGGAAAATGTGAATTCCATTTTAGTTATTCACCGAAAATCAGTAAAAATTCTGCAACTCACAATTTGCTCACCGATTACGGAATCGACTCAGAAAATTTAAGTGACGGTATCGTCACTTTTCACAGGAGATCCAGATAAAAATTACGGAACGCTGGGGAAAAATTCCGTGACAGTTCCGTAAAATTTCCTACCACCACATTTCGCTCCGGAATTACGGAAAAGATACGTAATTTTTATTGAATATTTCTCTCCGTGTGCATGTTTGTGACCGTAAATTGGCTGGAAGGAGTTGTTCAATAAGAGCTTTAATGAGAGTAATCTCCGACATTTAGTTCGATTCTTTCATTCCTTCAGAGCTTTATCAAAGAATAATGGGAATGCGTATGCTCTGGGGCTCGCGCGAAGGCATCAACAAAGCGTGGGTGGGTCAGCACCCCTACATATTCGTCAGCAAAGCCTCCACGGTTGAAGCAGTTCTCAGCAGCAATCGCCACATTGATAAGAGCTCCGACTATCGTTTCCTGCGACCTTGGCTTGGAACAGGCCTGCTCACCAGTCACGGTAATACAACAATCAACTTTACGAAACCGCATAATTTCATAATTGCGCAGTAAATATTTACGAGCATTTTTCAACCATCAACCTAACAGGGAGTAAGTGGCATCAGCGAAGAAAAATCCTGACGCCGACGTTTCATTTTAAAATACTCGAGGACTTCATTGAAGTCTTTGGAGAACAGACTGAGGTTCTAGTGACGCAACTTTCACGCGAGGTTCACAATGAGTCGTTCAATATTTTTCCTTACGTCACCCACTGCACTTTGGATATTATCTGTGGTAAAACTTTGTCTCATAATTTACACACTGAAAAATCTAAACGTAAATTACGTTTTGTTAAGAGGATTTCACGGTTTGCTAAAAGTAATTTACGCTTAATGCCAATATGATGTCTGGTCGCTCTTTTCTGCCATGAAAATCGGAATTGAAGGAGATTTGACAATAAACGCAACGCAGTCTTGACGCAATGCTTGCAATTGTCAAAACAATCGAAGAACAGGTCAACGATTTTTATACACAATTGCAGGCGATGCGTGAAGTCTGCGTTGCGTTCATTGTGGAATCTTCTTTAGGCTTCAAAAAGGTGTCTTTTACGGTCAAAATGACAACGCAAATTACGCCCAAACAATGCGTTTTTTACGTTTCACTAGTGATTCCGTCGAGACTAGACGAGAATTATTTTGGAAAGATCATCACGGTCTAAAAAAACATCGAAAGTTTAGGAATCGTCGTAATTTCGAAAGACATTGGATCGGTGCATCTCGTCACGAACTTGGAAGAATCCATCCCGTCTGAGTTTCAGTATTTTCTGTTTTTCAAATGTTTGTCTCGATATCTGTCTCGTCTCGTGAACTTAAAAAACCGAAAATCTCGAGATCCAGGCAAGATAAATCCTCCCGGAATTGTGACGAGATGCACCGATCCAATGTCTTTCGAGATATTGCGACGATTCCAAAACTTTCGATGTTTTGCCAGACCGTGATGATCTCTTCAAAATAATTCTCGACTAGTCTCGACAGCATCACTACGTTTCACTAAGCACATGTCACGCTTAAGCACTCGTAAATTACGATCGTAATAGAAACGTATTTGTCGATTTACTTCTGTGTAATTTACAAAAAAACATCGTATTTTACGCTTGAAATAATTTTTTTTCTTCGTCGGTAACTACGGATAAGTAAACCTAAAATACGGAATCAATAATACGAAACTGTAAATTACGTGTATGAAACCGTAATTTACGGCGATTCTGTGCATAATTTACGAATACAAAATCATAATTTACGTTTGTGTAATCGTACTTTACGGCGATTTTGAGCGCAATTTACGCTTGAACTACGACTTCTTAAACGTAATTTACGTTTAGGTTTTTCTGTGTGTACTACCGTAACACCGACAATGATTTAAAGAATACAATTTTCTCATTCTAGAAACCGCGATGGGAAGACAAGTGTTTGCCCAAAACGATAGTGACAGCGAATATGTACGTGCTGTTTATACGTAAGTCGATATATTTGATCTATGCGGAAAGTCGTTCTTTCCACAGAGAGAACAATACCCGAAAAATTATCGCGCTTGCACTCTACATTGTCAAAAATATTGGACTGAAATTATCGGAACTCACTCGCTCTTTAGAAATTTCTAACAGTGACAATTTTTTTTCAGTAAAATTTCGAAAAATTGCGTAATTGCAAATTCGTAATTCAATGAAAAATGAACGGATATCGGGGATTTCTTTCTAGATACGCGGTAACGTATTGATCAAGAAAAAGTTGTGACACCAATTGTCCGACATCTCAGGTCGAACACTAAGGGCTAAGTCGATTTAATCTATTTTACCGCTTCGCTACCGAAATATTATCGATATCGTAAGAAAAAAACCTTTGAAAAATTCAACTGCATGTAGAATTTTTTCTTCGATTGATAGATAATTTTCACCCGATTGACAAGAAATTTTCATAATGCCAGCACCAGATTTTATTCTGGTGATTGGATCCACTCTGCGGTACATCAACTTTTTTTCTAGGTTTCCACATAATAATTCTCGCTTTTTATTTCTCCGTTTGGTTACATTACCATAAGATTCAATTTCTTTCTCCTGTTCATTATCAGCGAAATATGAATCCAGTATCCGTGACATGTTTTACTGTGATTATAAACACATCAACTTACAGCATTGGAAACATAATTCAAACCCGGCAGGCTACAATCTGGTACCATCCAGACTTACTTTTTAGAATTTCACCGCTGTATGAAAAACATCAGCAGTGCATACGTGTCCTGCATGCCTTTTCTAATAAGGTAATTATATTTGCCCAGTCACTGTAACGTATTATTAACATCTTTCATACGATTACATGAGTTTTTTCGGTAGGTGATATCAGAAAGAAAAATGGAAATTTCGAGTAATGTTGAAAACAATAATATTGACGAAGGAGATGGAGTGAAGAAGAAGCGCTTGGCTTTCTTGGATTTGCTGATTGAAGCTTCTAGAGATGGAACTCTTTTATCTAATGAAGATATTAGAGAAGAGGTTGACACGTTCATGTTTGAAGTAAGACGGGCAAAAATAGATGGGAAGAGAAAAACATTGTAAATTAATCAAACAATTGTATTGAACTTTTAATTGCATTGATTTTAGGGTCACGACACTACATCATCAGCAGTCTGCTGGACGCTTTATCTCCTCGGCTGCCATCCGGAGTATCAAGTAAATGAATAATAACATATTCTCATTATACGCGTATGAAAAAATTCCATAGATGAATCTAGTGCTTTCTCTGACAAATTTTATTGAATTTAGGCGCCGATTTGTGTTGAAAATTATCCAACTTTGTCGTGCGTTCTGCAATCGATATTTTTTCGTAGAAACAAGTCAATACATTAGTGACGCGTCGCGTTAAAGATACTACTGAGTCCCAAATATTTTCACTCAGGTTAATAGTAGATTGTGCACCAAGGGAGGAAAACAGGACATTCCAACCCGCGTGTGTATAAATATGCGGGTTTTGATTTGGTGAAATGTGTCCCGTAATCCCGAACACCGCACCCTGATCCAAAATCAGAGGCCAAAATTAGGATTGAAGAAATTGTCCTCCGAGTACCCCTCGACCTACAAAATTCATAGGATATTTCCCTCAAGTTTTCCTGCATATCAACGATCGGGATCAGTTTTGCAAGAAAATCCCGAGCGCAGCGCGAGCTTCTACAAAACTGATCCCTCTCGTTGCTATGCAATAAAACATTCGGGAAGTATTCGTTAATTTTGAAGGTCTTGGGGAATAATAGCCGACAATTTCACGTGATAAAACTTACCAAGAAGTTTCAGCCAACAATTTTGGTAGAGATGTTATTTCTCTGTGTAACTTATTTTGTTTGACTTAACTTCATACGGTTCCTTCAGAATGAAATTTAGGTTTTTCTTCTGAATTTTGTAATGAGACATAAGGAAAAAGTTGTACAATTTTTTATAGGACTGGACGAAAAAACATAATTTTCCAATAGAATTTTTTGGAAAAAGTGCTTTCTATTCAATTTTTTCATACTCAAAAATTGCAAAAAAAAAACAATGACGAATGACTTCAAAGGAACGTGTGATCGACGAATTGGAACAAGTTTTCGGTGAAGGTGATTACGACCGGCGGCCGACACTGAGGGACTTGAAGAGCATGAAGTACTTAGAGAGATGCATCAAGGAAGCATTACGCTTGTATCCCAGTGTTCCGCTGCTTGCTCGTCGCATAGCGGAAGACGTGCAAATTGGTAGAAAATGAACTATCCAGATATCATCAGAACATCTTTATTTGTAGTTAGGGATAATGAGGTGATTATTTTGTTATGCAGGGAAGTACACGATTCCCGAGGGAACGACAGCGATGGTTATAGTTCCAATGCTGCATAGAGACCCTGAGGTCTTCCCTCATCCTGAGAAATTCGATCCTGATAGGTTTCTGGCGGAGAATGCAAATGGGAGACATCCTTATGCTTTCATTCCTTTCAGTGCGGGGCCGAGGAATTGTATTGGTATACTTATAATAATTGTTACTTCCGAATGGAAGTCTTGTTTTTTTTTAGTCACGGAAAAATGATGTGAGAAAATTTGGCCCCGCGAATAAAATTACAAAATAATTATGGTGTTCCACGGTAAAATGACCTGATTTCAACGATTTAAAAAAAACTGCGGGTGTCTGTATTTTTGATACAGCTGTAATTTTACGTGGATACGTCTGTGGTCTTCCCTTCCGTTCACTGAACATCATAGTTTTTCATTGCATATATTTATATAGGTATATTAGAAGAATTCGGGATTTCGCACCGTCTCGTCATGATGAGAAATTTTTTATAATCACGATAGGATTGAATAGTTATGTACAACCAAAATCTCTAAACAAACGTTTAATTCAATATATTTCATTCACGACGAAATGGTCGCATGAAACGCCCTTTTTGCGCAATTTTATCTATGTCCTGCAATAGTAACCAATTTTCGATATTTTGGCGCTTACCGCTGTACATGTATTTCGTAGTGTGGCAGTGAATGTAGCAACACTGACGCCCGAAGAATCGACAGGGACTCACTCGCACCGGGCGGCGCAGCGCCGCTTTTCTGCCCGTTCGAAGTTTCTGTTTTTTTTTTTAGGTAAACAAATTTCCCGAGAAAAAAGCGGACAACGGCAACGCTTAATAAAAGAATTGAACTGGGAACTCTAATTTTTTCAGAATTTTTAAGCGTCGAGAAGCACGCTAAAATATAAAAAAACGAAAACGGGTGGCGGCGTCGCGTTCATTGAGCGAGTGATCGAGGGTTAATAGTACATTAGAGTACAAGGGCACAAATTTCGTTTTCGACGAATGCGAAGTTTACAGGCCGAGCCGAAGGCGAGGTCTGTATTCACATTCGTTGAAAACGAAGTTTATGCCCGAGTGGTCTATACTATTTTATGTCACATCGTGCAGACGTCGAGTTTGAAGCACGCTGCGCAAAGCGCAGCGTACGATAAACTCGACTTATTGCGCGGCGTGCCATAAATAATTTTTCATAAAATTTGCTTCGAGTTCGATGGAAATCGGCAAAAAAAAGGAATTCCATAATAAAGGCGCTAGGTTTTCCACCCGTTCTTGAGTGATAAAAAATTTACTGTTTTTTTGTAATGATGTCTTTCAATGTCTTTATTGTTCATTATTAAACAAAGAAAATGATTTCACAGGTCAAAAATTCGCTGTGTTGGAGGAGAAAGCAGTGATCTCAGGGGTTCTAAGAAAATATCGAATCGAGGCAGCGGAGCGTCGAGAGGACATCAGTATCACTGCCGAACTCGTAATCAGAGCTAAAAACGGCCTCAATGTTCGTATAACACCGCGATAATGAATGAAGGAATTCCACCTTTCTTCTCATTCTATTTTCAGGGCACTGAATAAAGTGTCTTGGAGCTGTTAACTCCATCTTTCGAAAGATCACTGTGGATAATTCATGTTTAGTACTATTTAATTTCTTACATTATCATTTTTTGTACGTTATCTGTTATAAATGGGATACAAACCACAGGTACGTTGTTTTAATTTCCATTTCCCCGGAGCGTCTCATGTCGGAATAAAAAGAGTTTCACTGAAAATTCGAATTCATTCCCCTCCTCTCCCTGTTATGTCACTAAAAATTTTATAATCATGGAAAATTACTGAGTAAATGAAATACTTCAGACAATAGTGCAATTATTTTTATGAGAAAAAACAATGCTCTTGGGGGGGGGCCGGGGGCGTTTTAGGATTGAGATAGAGAGCTGAAATTTTAAGAGGATTTTTACAAATTTATTTCCAGTCTTTTGAGGTGGCGGCACGTCAAAAATTTTGAATCAGAACTAGGAAAATATACCAAATAGCGGTGCCAAAGGAATCGTTATCTGCCCCATAAAAAAACAATCTATCGAGCTCGACCGAGGACCATGAAAGATTCTCTCACGGGGCGACTAAAGTCGGTCGGGTCGTATGAAAAATTCCTACGGAGAATTCGAACATTTCCTATAGAATTTCCTATAGGATTTCTTGTAAGAATCCCTATCAAGTATTTCCTATTGAATTTCCTACAGGATGTCTTATAGGATTTCCTATATAGGATATCCTATAACATTTTCAGTAGGATTTTCTATGAAATTTAGGGTCATAAGGGTCATGTAAAAGATCGTAAGATTTAGGTGACTCTGGGCGTTTAATCGACCAGCCACGTGTGTATCTAAATTCTAAATTCTAGCGTCATAAGGGTCAGAATGAGGATAAAAAAGTGATATGGGGGTCAGATGAGGATCGTATAAGGGTCATACGCAGGTCATAAGAGGCTCACATGGCCTTCATGTGACCCCCGTTACCTTTAAATGACTCTAATATGACCCATATATGACCCCCACGTAATCCCCATATGACACTGTTGACCCTCATTATGGCACTTATGCCCCTAAATTTTATAGAAAATCCTGTTGAAAATCTGACATGAAATCCTATGGAAAATTCTGTAGGATATCCTATAAGACAATAGAAAATCCTATGGGATATGCTATAGGAAATCCTGTAGGGAATGTGCGAATGTAGAATTCTAGGATATAGATAGGATATGCTATAGAAAATCCTATACGATTTTTTCATACGTGGTTGCTCGCCGCATCGAGCGGTTCCGTGAGGCGTTCGGTAATGCTCGGCAACTAACCCAGTCTCATCCATAGCTCGGACCTCTCCGTCTAACTAGTGTCTGCGCAATGCGTGAGAGATTCTCTAACGGTGCAAGCGCCGACCGTGGCGCTGACGGGTTACAGTGAAGGATGCAAATGCGTCACATGACCCGTCATATGACGGTCATGTGACCCTCATTTACGGTCATATGACGAGTTCATGACGGCTGTCACAATTCCCCCTCCCCCTTCTGTGACCGTCACAACTTGTCAAGACAAAATGACAGTCATTTTTCATCTATATAGATGAAACTTTATTTTTTTCTCAGTCAATTTTCAGTTGAATTCCTTTTTTATTGCCCTAATTCGCATTTTGAGCTGGAAATCCCGATTTTTTTCCATCCATATAGATTAGAAAACTATTTTGTTTTATTCATGACCGTCACAAATTGGAAATTAGTTATGACCGTCATTATGCAACTATATAGATGGTTTGACAACAATTTGGTTACAAATGATTTGTGATTATCATTTGTAGTTGGAAAATTTGTGCGGCACATGACCGTCATTTTTTGGTCATATGACGCGATCTAAAAAATGACGGTCATTTTGCATCTGTAGTTACAGTGCTTCCTGTCAAAGGAGTAACCCGAGCCGTATCCCCCCCACTTACGTTCATTCTCCCCACCACTGAAATCGAGGTTACATCTTTCGCAGAAATCAGTATAGGCTCGTACCCACACAGAGAAAGTGAAACTCATTCTGACAGCAAATGGTCAGTCCAAAACGAACCAAGGGAAACGTTTCATCGACAGTGACCGCCGGGATAGTTTGGAACGTCATCATTGGCTTACCAATCGACTCGTGACAAAGCGAATAAAGAAAATTGTCCATCTGTGTGCTAACCGCAACTAAAATCGAATATTCACATTAGTTAGGTCCAAGTACTGCGCAAAACAAATAAACGAGTGAGGAAGAAGTCAAAATGAAGGCGATAATATTCGCCCTCAGTGCACTATTTGCTGGTAAGTTTTTATTCTCTTATTTTCCACGATAATTTCAACTCGCTGAGGGCACGAACGGGTGATAAACAAGGAATGCTGTTGTTATCGAACCCCCATTTGGCAGTTAGAATAAAGAAAATAACCCCGAAGTCCATTGACCATTGATGATGCTGCATTATCCGAGCCTTCAGACATCTGCGTATTGTTATGGCCAGCTAATAAAATTAATTTGCGTCGTAATAATGATTATTTTCGGCACAATTGACCCTCTGAAGCCACACACGTGAGCATCAGGTGCAGAATGCCTGATAATTCCGATGCAAAACAGGATTTTTACACGTAATCACGCAATTTATATTGTATTAGTCACAAAAGGAATGTGAGGTTACTTCCAACGAAATGGATGACTCAGGCACTGGAAGATTGTCTCTACCACCAGAATTGTTCGACTGCCACTAACTCTATATCCTATTTAATTCCGTTAATAGAATGGAAATGCCTCATTTGTATGGGTTTGTTAGCCATTATTGAGGTCACTTCAATGGGGTATTGGATGCTTTTGAACTCGATTATTCGTTCTATTAAATTCTAGAATTTATTGTTATTTTGATTTCCTCTTAATCAGCGACCACAGCTCTTGCATGATGCAGAGGAAATCAGAGATATCACGTTTTGTTGTTAGATATTGGACCTTGTCCTGTTTATTTGACACTGACGGACCAATTAGTCATTGATATAAAGAAATATGGAAATGTAGCTATTGTGGAGTATAATGGTGGTATTATGATGATGAAGAGGGGTTGGATAATGTTTTCATTTTTGCAGTTGCAGCAGCTAGAATTATCAATGATGGGAATCATTTGTTGGGAGCTAAACAGTGTACGTGGGGTCCTGGATATTGGTGTATGAATATCACGTAAGACAATTCCTCAATTTTTCCATAATAAACAGCTATTTTCAATGTACTTTTCGAATTGAGTGGTCGAGAATAAGATTTTTAGCAGGGGTTTTTTGTAGAATATTAAATTTTCTAAAAAGAAGGTCTTGTGATGAATCGTTCTAGACTAGTTCGTTCTTTTAATATTCCTAAGAGCATTTGCAAATTAATCGCTGATTGTTCTCTTCTTACATTGTCGATTATTTTGCAAATACCTTTTGAACTATCTAATCGGTTTAGAGGAAACCGTCAGAAGGAATCCTTCTTTTGTGTGATATGAAATTGAATGTCTTTCTTTACAAGATATTTAGAAAATTATCTACACGCAAATTTCGGACTGATCTCTTCTGACTTGAGCGATTTTTTTCAAAATATCTTTGAAACGAAATTCTATAGAAAATTTCTTAAGGGAATAAGTTATACAGAAAAATTGAATTCTATTGACTTTTTCTACTGAATATTTTCTATTGAACATTTCAATAGAATCGGCCAAAAACTAATAGAACAGTTCAATAGAAATTCAATAGAATTTTCTAACGAATTCAATAGGTTTTTCTATTAAATTTTTTCGTCCGTGTCCCTAAACCTCTTCACTCTAAAGTGGTTGCAAAATAATCTCCACCTGAATTCCGGTCTCAATTGGTTTCAGACATTGCCCGATTCGTAGAAATATTTGTTTTGAATATTTAATATGAAAAATTTGATGATTTAGGAATGCTGCTGGATGCAATGCAACCACCCACTGCATCAAGCACGTATGGAGTACGATGCAAGTTCCAGAGGACCATGACAGTGTCTGTGACATTTGCAAAGACATGGTGACCCAAGCACGTGATCAACTTCGGAGCAATCAGACCCAGGAAGACCTCAAGGCTGTCTTCGAGGGCAGTTGCAGACTCATGATGATCGAACCTGTTGTTAAAGAGTGTGACAGACTCGTCGACCAGTTTATCCCCGAATTGGTGGAGACTCTGGCATCTCAGATGGATCCATCTGTCGTCTGCTCAGTCGCTGGTCTTTGCAACTCAGCTCGCATCGATCAATTGCTCGTCGAGCACGAGGCGATGCTTAAGAAGGTATATCTGAGATAACATACATTTCATGAATTATTTATAAACTCTCATGTGGAAACTAACGGTCGAGTGGCGATTAATCAATTGACCTTTCGACATTGCTTTACTCAGCTTTCGATAGTGGACAGAAAAAATGGTGGCTGTCGCTGTAAATTACAATTCAACGAAATAACACTCAAAGAATACGAAGGAATAGTTATAGAATTTGATAATAAATATTGCATTGCAATTGTTACAATTTGTGAAAATTTTTCATTTTTTGGAGTGACTCAAAGATATCAATTAAAGAATTTTAAAGAGATAATCTTTTCTTCTTAGTTCAGCAATTAAAAAATAACCGTCAAGATTTTTTCACATGGGCAGTCACTTGAAAAAATATGCGTAGCGAATTGGAAATAATGATTTGCACTCAATCTTTCACTATTAAAGAGTACAAATTCCCGTCCACAACATTTCCATTTCAACCTATTCAACTCATGTCTCCAGATCAACCCTAGAGCCGTATCCCTCAAGAACGACGAGCTCACTCCAGACGAGTGCTCTCAGTGCTACACGATAGTAACCCACATGGAGAGCAAGCTTTCCCAGACCCCACCAGACCAAATGGCCAACGAATTAGTCTCTCTCTGCGGTCAACTTGGCTCCTTCTCCGATGCCTGCGCCTCCCTAGTCCTCGTGAACTTCGACACTATCTACAGCCACGTAAAAGACAACTTCAAGGCCAACAACATCTGTCACCTATCCGGCCAGTGCAGCGGCAAATACCACAAGCACGAGGTCGAAGCCGATAAGGGTCCAGTCGTTGAAATCCGTCCACTATCAAGCGTGGGAATGGTGGAAGTGGGTGACGATCTCCCCTGCAAACTCTGCGAGCAATTGGTCGGACACTTGAGAGACCTCCTCGTGGCCAACACTACAGAATTGGAATTCCAACAAGTTCTGGACGGTCTCTGCAAGCAGACCAAGTCCTTCGCTGACGAGTGCAAATCTCTCGTCGACCAGTACTACCCGGAGATCTACGAGTACCTCGTCCACGGATTGAACAGCAACGCCATCTGCCAAATGGGAGGAATCTGTCCACTACCAGGTAAGGTGGAGACGCCCATCATGCCTCTCCTCCCCCGACGCCCAGCAGAAATTGCAGTTCGTATTATGAACGAACAGAAGCAGAAGAACGTAGGGGTTGGCGGTGCAGGACAAAGAAAGACCTATCCCAAAACTGAAGCTGACGAGATGCAACTTCCAATCGAGAGACTCCAGCCATTTGCTGTCCTGTCCCTTCCCAAGATGGACGTCGAAGGCCAGCAGACATGCTCCTTCTGCGAGTACCTCTTGCATTACCTGCAACAGGTAATCACAAGCCCAACGACTGAGGATGAAGCGAAACAAGTTTTGGACAAGGTCTGCAAGAAGTTGCCTGGCAGCGTTGAAGGTACCTGTGACGAGTTCGTCAGCACTTATGGACAGGCTGTGATTGCTCTGCTAGCTGAGGAGATCGATCCTTCAATCGTTTGTCCCGTTATACATGTCTGCCCATCAGAGGCCGCCATGGAGGCCTGGGGAGCTATTCCTCGGGAGTTGACGCTGGAGGCTGAAGTTCAGAACAAACCCAGCTGTCCTCTCTGTCTTCTAGCTGTCACTCAACTGTACAATGTCATCAAGGATAACAAAACTGAGGCGAATATCGAAAAGGAGTTGGATAAGCTTTGCAATCATCTCCCCAAAGACTTGAACAACCAATGTGTGGACTTGGTGAAGGGCTATAGCAAGGAACTTGTTGAGATGCTTCTGGCGGATCTCACGCCTGAGGAGGTCTGCGTCGCCGTCAAATGGTGTGACGCTCAGAAGAACGTAGAACCTACTGGCTACTTCCCCATGGACCAGGAAGGAGAGATCATGACTAACGAAATACCGAATTTTCCGGTCCACGCGGAGAAGAAGACTAAGGATGATCAAAAATGCGTTGTTTGCGAGTTTATTATGCAGTACGTCGAGAAGGCAATGAAGAATAAATCAACGAAGGATACGATTGAGAAGGTTGTTCATGGAGCTTGCAATTATCTTCCGAAGACTGTCTCAAAGGAGTGTAATGACTTTGTTGATCAATACGCTGACATTGTGATTGATCTGTTGGCGCGGGAAGTCAGTCCCAAAGAGGTTTGCACTGTGATTGGACTGTGTCAAGCTGACATGCAGAAGGTAATCGATTCCATCGCTGAATGCGCATTGTGCCAGGGGATCATGTCGTCGGTTGATACCATGTTGACGGATCCAAAGGTCGATGAGAAGATTGAGGCTGTTGTGGGTAAAGCATGCACGCTGCTTTCTCCCAGCAAGCAGGGCAAGTGCACGATGATGCTGGAGATCTATGAGCAGAGCATCATCAATCTTTTGAAGAATGGGGTCAACACCAAGGAGGTCTGCAGGAAACTCTCACTCTGCTCGAGCAGCGATTTCTTTGCTATGTCTACTGAGCATTTCAGAGACAGGAGGGCTGATGATTTGGGGAAGAGAAGGTGCACCTGGGGAGAATCTTATTGGTGCGGTGATATGAATGCAGCTAAGGAATGTGATGTAAGTTGTTCATGAATTTTACTAGGGGGGTCGGCCAAAATGGGACGTATTGACATCTTTTCCAATTGTCAATATCTTGCTTTATAAATGAAGATATTGACAATTAGAGAAGATAACGAAACGTCCCATTTTGTCTGACTCTCTTCTACTATTTCAGTAGTAAAATGGTCAAACGGGTTAAGTCGGTTTTGGCTATTGGCCAGGTTTCAAGGAATATCTCGAAATCTAAGGGAGATAGCAAAATTTTTTTCATAACGTTTTTAGTAGCACGCGATTTGCTCTACAAAAAAGGTTATTATGAAAATTTTGCTATCTCCCTTGAATTCAGAAATATTTCTGGAAAACTCAACTACATACTAAATTGACTTGGACCGTTTGACCACTTCGCTAATGATTTCGTGGTTTATAAGAATCGGTTTGCAAACATCTTTGAAACTAGTACATTTAGAAAGAAAAGATAGGTAAACTTTTTTATAACTCTTAGAACTTTGCTCAGGAAAATTCTTCTGGCTCGCCATGAGAATCCTTGTTCTTTCGAAAATATTCACAGATGAAACTGCCCATTACGTTTCAAATTATGTCTGCTACTAATAAATCTGGAGAAACATTCCAGAAAAACTTTTTTGAAAGCCACACTGAGAGAAAAACATCAAAACTCTCAAACAAGTTTTACTTGTGCCATTTTTCCATTCGGAAACAAAAAAGAAATAACTGCATAGTTTATAATTCATATTTACCAGGAAATTTTCTTCTTGATGAACAAGAAATTCGAAATACCTTGGGGTGTGTTATACCCCCAGAAAAGTAATGAAGGATTAAAAAACTAATCTCTACATTCAATTGCGATACATCCTTGCTTCTTCTAATTCCTGATGTATTGTTAAATGAAAGAATTTGCTTTCCTTACAGGCCGTGGAGCACTGCAAAGTCAATGTATGGAAGAGTGATACTCCGGCCACCCCTCGTCATGCTGAGTTCACCGAGGAGAAATCAAGATCTTAAAATATAATTTTTCTAAAAACCTTCAAGATATTTCATATAGGAAACATCATCTCATAATCAGAAATTAAAAATTTTACAAGTTTCCTCTACTTAACTATAAAGAAGTATAAGCGGGGGACAGGCAGTGAGATCTTCCGTGGTAAATAATCATACTCGAACCAAAAGAATCATTGAATAATGAAGTGACTAACATTACTCATTAATGGATGTATGTAGACGCTATTAAATGCCTTTTTTTCTTATAAAATATATCTAATTCATTGTATTTCAATAAGGTTCTCCATTAAGGCAGTGAGGAATTTGGAAAGTGATTGTTCTCTATATGCCTTGTGAAAATTTATACTTTTTAATTTCAATGAGGGACATACTAGTAGAGAGAGGGGATTGAATTCGTTACATTGTACAGTAACTGTGATAACGATTAAATGTTCTGCATAAGGAGTTTTATTTGTTTTGAGGTGACTCACCCCAGCAGTTGCAATAAAAAAATTATATGAAATATTTCAAAGTTATATCATTTTTCTACTGAAGATGTGAAGAGGTATTTTTTTTATCACTTACAGTGAAGAAAGAATTATACTATTTTCCTCTGACCTAAATGATTTGACAATTACGATTCGTTTATTCATGTTTCACATAATGGTATTCAATTCTTTTTTGTTTGTTAGGTGGGCTCCATGGAAATTTGACGCAAGACGATTGTCCTCATCAAAATCGCCTTAATTTCTCCGTTCGATATATCCGCGATGTTCAAGTTCTCATTTTCGATTCGAGATATTGCTCATGCTTTCCTATTCTAAAAATAATATACACTTAAAGTCGATAACTATCGACATCTCGCAAGTCTGTCACGCTTATTCCTCATTTGTTCCAGTCGTCTGAGGTGGTAAATTTAATTCATGATTAATTTAATTTTGAGATCTTCAATTATGATTGTTACAATTACAGCGCGCTGTAGCGCCCGTTCGGTCTCGTGTCTTTAAATTAAAATAAATTTGTTTCATCATTGGAGGCACCTGCGTCTTCCATATTGACCACGATGGTTAATGTCGACTCGTACTTTGAAAATTCCTCGCGTACGTCGGTAAATTACCATCCCAAGAATGTTCCCCTCATTCACACTGAGCGGACGTAGATGGAAATACCTGTGCAATTTTTCGCAGAATACGTTCCCGACTTTAAGGGGTAACAGAATGTAGCTAATTTTTCAAAATTTGAAAAAAAATTCCTGCCGAAAGTTATCGATGTTTTTACAAATCGAAGTAAATTAATCTCCAAGAGGCGATTATAACGATAAATGTGCTTCGGCTTCGAAAAATATTAATAACTTTGAGAAGGAAAGTTGTTTGAAAACTTCCAGGAAACGTCCGCCTTCTGTTACCCCTTAATTAGCAACTGATCGGTGCTAAAAAATGATTGCTATCAATTGGAGGTAAGCGGTCAGGGGCATTTTATTTCAGTTCTAAAAAACAAATTTAGCATCTAACATGTTATCATTATCAATTTCTGTAAATTAATCCCATCACTCTGTTTATTTTTTTTTTAATTCTTGGATTTTCCTATAAATAATTAATCTTCATTCTTTTTCCTTTCACTTGAATAATTATGTACGGCTTTTTAAGGAACGAGTTATGATCCTCGCGATAATATATTCCAATTAATTCGATTAATCCAATTAATTTAATTTAATGTAATGAAATATTCCATTAATTTCAGGATATCTATTATTCTGTTTTCGTTTAGTTATTCATTGACTAAATTGAACCTGCGCAATAATTCCACAAAATTTTTATGATTTCATCTTTATTTCAGCCCTCGTAACTCATCTATAGCCCACTCTCGAGAGCTCCCCAGAATATTCTTCATTACCCCAATGAAATATACCGGAGCCAATGGATCACGTTGAAAGTGCTCCACATAAATCAGTGACTCTTTAAAACACCTACGTTATTGGAATACATCACCCCTTACCTCCGATGCATGTCTTTTTCCCCCCCAGCGATGCTCTCTCGCAGCCTTATCGCTGCTTGAATTATTAAGCGGAAAAATTACGAATATACATACATCTACTTTTTTTAAACGCGCTGTACCCCGCACTCATGGCTTACACTGGCGCACATGTAACCACCTAACACTCCTGGAAGCGGGATAGCACGGTAAAGTGAACACATCGGCGCAAGCCTTTATAATTCAGCAGGTTCTTAAGACACCCACGTTTGCAGAACGGTATATAACCCCGGAATATAGAGATACACAAGTTGAGACGTCTTTTCCATATGTTCGGCTTTACAGTGTATCGACTTAGCCGCTCTCAATGCCTGAATTACCCTATTATAAGCGTAAATCAAATCTATCTGAACGTCTATTCTCTGAGGTGGAAAGGAGCGTTGTTATAACCAGATCGTTAGTGAGTTATTTCTTTTTTTTCATGCTTTCGTTCTTGGATGATACAGCAAAAGAGCTGACAGTAATAGTTTCTACGTCTATGAGAACTTTTGTAACGATGTGGTTAAAAATGATTGATCTTAAAATTCTTGAGTGAAGTACGTCAAATAGAGTATTTGACGTTTCTAATTGAGCATTTATCGCGGAAATTAGTGATTTCAGAAAAAAAACTCAACACAGGGAAAATCTGGATGAGAATCATCTAGAAAGACAATCGTGGAGCGTAATTGTAAGTCAATGAAGAATACTTCTTGCGGAGAATCTTAGGATTCGTTTGGCAAAAAAAATGATTCTTCGGCACAGAAAAATTCTCACACATAGGTGAATGATTACGCAATATTGAGCAATTATTAACGTTAATTGCAAAAATTTTCTTGGAGTGAGTGGTACAGTGTACAGTTTTGGCACAACTAGCCCTCACGTTTAGCACATTTTCCCTGAGAGACTTCAGAAGACAATACTTTGGACAGATGGTCTCGGTCTCAATGAACATGGAAATCTTTGGTCTCGTCTCTCGTGATGATTCCGAGTAAATTCATCTCATCTCGGTCTCAGGTTTTTCTTGTTTTTGCTTCCGAATAGAAGCATTGTAATTTCCCACTTTTTCATTGAATTACAATTTGCTCCCCGATTACCTTGCGTACAGTAAAATTTGCCACATTTTCTACGTAATTTTTATCCAACTTTTCACTTCGTGTAGCAAAACCTCGCCTAAATCACGTATATCACCCAAATTTAATAAACATGTGTAAACGAATTCTAAAAATAAAAAGAACTGTCATGCACAATAACGCATTCAACGAATAATTACTCAGTCAAATAAAAATACAATACCCCTTTAGCCAAAAATGTAGATGCACAAACAAAATCAGGCATATTTCGTGTCTCCGCGTCTCTCGCACGCGTGTATAAAGCCACTGTAATTGACTATTCATAACGATTTACCCAGCCCATTCCACATAATCTCTCCACACTCTCTGCACGTACCCCCTCCATCATATCCCACTTGTCCACCTCCTTTCCATCTCCATCTCCACCCAGTCACATCCCTGAATTATCACCAGCCCAAGGAAAAACCCCAATCCCCAGCCGCCACCCATTATTTTTATTTTTGCATCACCGGATATTCGCGCACGTGAGCCGCACGGCACACGTTACGTGGGCTTTGGAATTGGTTCCGTGTCATTTTCCTCCAGCACGCGCTCCTCACTATTTCCACTATTTTCGTACGTTATTCCCTCTTCCCCCCCCCCCCCCCCCCCCCCCCCC